CCCGGCCGCTAATGGAATACAGGCCAATATTAGAGAATTTACGGTATATTTGCTTTGATTGCTAATTGTTTTTTCATTCTGCTAGTTTTAAGCCAAATGAGAACCTGATAAAGAGGGCATTAGGGCATTGAAAGTACATTTATTATAAAGAATCAAAGCTTTATAATTTCCCACGGTGGTGAGATAATTATTAATTAGAAAATATAGTCAGATTATGTTTCAAACAATCGACATGCTGGGTTGACCAAATTTTCATCAGCGAGGAGAGTGAGATTATTTTGGTCCTGTATGAGCTTAAGAATTGTAATTATTAGGTGATATTGATAATTTAAAGCAGTTGTATGGATGCCTGAGTACCACACATAATTTATTTTTCCAACAGCCGGAGCCAGGATATCTTAACAAGTCTACTGAATTGTTGCTAGCCTACCTTAGCAAGTGATTCAATTGAAGTTAGTGAGCTCCAGTGATAAACTAATAGAACATTAACATTGGAGCATTATTTAATATAATCAGCCAGTTGTGCCACTTAGTGCAAAAATGACAGATAGGTAGTATTATTCGGTTCAATAAAGTAAATGAAATAAAGGGTTTTACAAAAGGCATACAAAGGGCTTTAATTCTTAACACTTGTAATTAAGTATATTGCCTTTTTTCTTTCGAATTCTCCTTTGTGTCTTTTTATATTTTTCATTGTGAATATATGTGATGATGGTTGTGACAAATGTTCCCCCTCTAGGGAATTAATAATGATGATTTATAGGTCAAAGCCTCCATAAAAAGACTATATAACAACCCCCATACCAAGCCCTTCTCAATTGTGTTTTATTTGTATGTGAAGATAAAGTTTGCAATCTATTGTTTTGTTAAAAAAAAAATAAAAATAAAAAAAGAAGAAGAAGAAAACACATCAGACCGAGAAGAATCCATTCATTTAAGTCCTTTAACTTTCATCCCAATTTTTAAATGAAACTTCTCAGAACGTACAACACCCATAGCACCAGGCAATATTTATCTTCTGGTTGAATTTACTGCAAACCGTCTCAACTATTGCTTAAATAGTTGGTCCAAGACAAAGTATTTTTTTAGGAGCACATAAAACAAAACAAGACTCCCTAAAATCTTTTTCCCTAAGAAGAAAACTCTATACGTTAAACTGATAGAATACATATTTTTTTACAGTAAAAACTATTTTTAAAAAAAAGTAAAAAACATTTTCAAGCGTAAGAAAAACAATCAAAAATTAGGAAAGAAAAATACAGCAAATAAGTATGGATTGAAACAAAATGCTGAATGATAAAAAAATAACGTTTTGGCTAAAATAAAATATACTTTATAACTTTTTTTTTATAGACATTAAAATAAACTTCCACATTCAGGTACTTATTGTCAAACATAACTTGGAAAAAAAAAAAGTTTACCAGTTAAATGTCTATCACAGTCATCCATTCTCTAAATCCTGGATCACAGATAGGCTAATTATGAAATATAAAATTCACGAATAAAGCTAAAGTTTGCTCTGTTGCCTGAGAAAGGTCAAGCACCTCATTTGACTGGAATGTCAATAACCTGAGATGTGTTGCCGAGATAAAGATTTAAAGAGGTCCAACTCTTAGGTGCTGAGGCAACATATTTATAAAAAAAAAGAAAAAAACCTCATACCACCATTCATACTTGTTTTAATGAGCTTTATTGTTATAATCAGTACATTTATGAATCAAGTTTGTGCAATAAAAAAGCAGTTCTTTACAAATGTTAAATTAGCAGCTGAAGCAAACACATTGTGCTTTAAACAGTCAGTGAAGTTAATTATAAATAACTTGTAAATTCATATCAGATATCATCCTATAAATAAGTTATCAGTCAAACCCCATAAAGAGCTGTTCATTGTGTCCACTAGAAGGAATGTGCTCATGAAAAAGGACCGCCTTAAAAGACAGGATTATGGTCTCCAAAGGTATAAAAGCTTTTATCCAGGAATCTCCTGGTTTTGGCTCAGGAAAACATTGAAACAAATGGCGCTGGTTCTGAGTTTATCCAATTGGAGTGTTTTTTTTCCTTCTTTTTTTGTTGCTTAAGAATAAATAAACTCTGTACTATGAGAAAACAAAAACAAATCAGGATGAAAAATGGAAACTTCTTTATTTACTTTGCAGCATTTTAGACTTTTCAGTGTATTGAATTCCACAAGCTTGATGCCTCCTTGCATTTTCAGTCATGAGTTATTCTTCATAGTTGAAATAAAAAAAAGATGATAAGAAAAATGTAAACAACACCGTTTTAAATATTTCCAAACATAATACAAATTAAATCTAAGATCATCCAACAGTTTACTATAATTACGGCCCATTTATAGTACGTCACAGACAGCCATAGTGTTGGGCTTTCTAATCATTTAAATCTGACCAAAAAAGTCTTGCTTTAGATGCTCTACAAAAAGCCCCTAAAGATTTAGCGAATACTGAAAGAGGACGAATGTCTTGATGAAATGGATTAAATGGTTATAATGTTCAGAGAGTTGGTAAAAACACAAGCTGGATCTCAGAGATTGGTTTTAGATTATAAAATTAATAAAAAATAAAGTATTTAGTAGATACAAAGACAAATCTCCTCAGCTTCAGACTGTTGCAGTCTACAAAGTTGCTTTAAAGCATTCGTTGCCATCACAACAGTATTTCTTTTTTTGATGCCACGGATGGTCTTGGAGGTATTGATGCTCCTTGTTTAAGGCAGTTCAGCTGATAATCTATACAGGGCTGCGTGCGTGACCTTGGGTGGGGGTGTAGCAGAATATACATGATACAAGTTAGAAGAGATATCATGTTGTATAAAAAAAAAAAAAAAGTCAACATACCTTCTAAGGCTCAGTGTCCATGGTCACGGTAACTATCTGGCCTCCATCTGAAACGACATTATTAAATAACATAAAGAGAAGAAAAATTTTTTAAACCACTCAGACATTTCTAAAGACTGTTCCCCAGGGCTCCATTTGTGGTCCCATTGCGTTTAATAACTTTTGGCTATAAGATTAAAGTTTCACAATATTTGATTGGGAATTCTGTCATAATATTGATGAAAAAGAACTTTATTTTTATTAAAAAAACCTTAATTTTTTTTTCTCACTTCAAAACGTATAGTTAATAGCTGCTTGATATGACTTAAGTCACAAACCAAGAAAATGTAATTAAAAGAGTCAAGGTATTTCTGTTGAAGTCATTGTAGTTAAGAAGATTATCATCCTTGCAGCATTCACACAAGGATAAGTTTGTTCAGGGATTGTGAAAAGTTTGCTTTCACATAAAGATTTTTAGACCAGGCCAACTATTATGCAGATGGAAAGAATCGTTTCAGAGGCAGCATATTTGTGTAATGAGCTGATCAAGAAAAAAAATAAAAAAATCAAAAGCCGATCATCCAACAACAAACAGAACGGGAAATTTGATCAGGTAATGTTTTTGTTCTCTGACCTAAGGGTCCAGGATGGATTGATACTGGCCTGATCAGTTCCAGAAACTGGACTCTGTCACGGTTAAAAGTATTTTAAAGGTTTAGTGTGAAATCAGTATCTAGATCAATGTTATGTTTCATTGCTTGTAACAAAACTGAAACTGGTTAAACTTTTAGAAATAAGTTAATTTGTAAAAAAAATAATAATAATAAAGACCACCCCTCTATCCCTGTTCAACTATACTGATTGTCAAAAGAAAAAAAAAAGTATCCCTCAAAAGTTGTGACCATCATATAATCTAGACTTCCTATATTACTTCGAGCGCTGGTTATTCTAGTTAATTGTTCCATCAGGAATTCACATAATGTTTAAAGCCTTCATTTTATCAAAAAACTCCAGCTAGAGTTCTGATACCAATCATATCAATCAAAGATAGATCATATTTTTTTCATTCCAGCTTTCTGTTATTAGCTTCTTTTTACAAAAGAGTTTAAAAGGGATGTTGAGGAATTGAATAACAGCAAAATTTTAACTGCAGCTCATCCTTTTAACATCACATCCTGGTTCAGTTATTTTAAAACCAACTGCAAGCCAGTTTCTCTGCTCTTCCATCTGACTTCCAGTCTAGAAAGGAGATTCTCCAACATCCCAGCTGGACATCATGTTCCACGTGGTGGAAACTCCAGAGCTGCAGTCTTACTTTGCTGGTAAGGTGGCTACATCCCAATCTTTGAAGAAAGCCTTGACCCAAAACCTTAATTTCACCTGTTGCTTTTATCTGCCACTAGTTTTTAAAAATGGATGAATTCATTTGTCTTGGCCAGACATCCGAGGTGTCCTTCTGCCACTGCTGTGCCGGGTCTGATTCCTAAGCTCCTCCCCCTCTGCTGGTAAGATGATGTTGAGCTTCTACATTCTGAGGGTGCTCTACAAGCGCGACGTTACTGAATCAATTGTACAGTAAACTATTTCTTTAATTCACTCTTTAACAGGTATTTCTGCCTGGGCGAGGAGAATAAGTAGATAATGCTGATTGGTTTATCCAAAAGTTCCTTGAAACTATTATGCTGATGTCTTACGTTGTGCAATTGTAGGACGTGACAAATATTTTATTTAATCTGTCTTAAACAGACATTATTTATGTTGTTGCCGAAATGCATCTTTAAAATAGCCTTTTTATTTGACCCCTTATGACTAAAACATTGTTAGATGGGTAGACTGATACCTTAGTAGTCCAGTGCCAATGCATCTATAAGCCTGTAGCCTATTTTCCTAAATTTACTTTGGGTTGAAAGTTCCGGTGCCGTTTTTGCGGATCAAGCACATCCATGTTAAAGGTTCAAACCTAGCAAACAAGCGAAGAGTTATACTCGAGATGGATTTTCTGGATCCTCAGAAGCGACTGGCATTTTGCTCAACTCAGGCACTAGCGCAAGCTACGAGAATGAGCAGAAAAGTGCAACAGTCCTGTTATTTGGCCACAGGCTGTAGTATCATTAGAAAACTCCGTAGGGCCTCTTTAATGTTAAGAACTTCCACTTTCGCCACCAAGGTGTGTCTTGCTTTGCATTTTCTTTTTTCTCCCTCCTTCAGCTCCTCCTGTGTTCTTCTCGAGTCCATTTTTAAAGTGGTTTGGTTCCGCCAACTCAGTCTCATGGTGAGTCGCAAGCGCCGGTAGCGCAGGTAGTTTATGAGTAAAAGGAATTTTTATTAAAGAATCCTGCTATGACCTGACATCTTGTGATCTACGGCCTGTTGGTTACCATCCACTGCTAGCTTACAAGAGTCAGCTTGGCTTGCAACAGTGTGTTTTTGGCCTGTTGGTTAGCTGTTGTTAGCCGGTTCCCTATTCCCCCTCCACCCTCCTGTCTTGCCTGGTGGATGACCAGTAGCTTTACAGCAGAAGCCTCTCATCCTCACATTATCATTTGGTTTTAATTAAATTTCAATCCTGTTACATCAAATCTTTATTGATATTCGTTCATTTTAGATTAAGTAAAACTTTATCGACTCAAATATTACCAAAGACTACTACTGCATATCTATATTATATTACATCCTCTTTTCTGCGGATCCAGTGGGCATTTTCCAACGCAAAAATGAAGTGGAGTTAATAAACCAAATATTATCATAGATTATCCCAAGGACGTATGTATTCCTCTTCATTTTACTTGTTTTGTTTTTTAAGTACCTTGTGTTTATTTTAATTTGTAGTGTTCCTGTAGTTATAAATCAAATCAAAGACTGTGACGGAGATTATTAGGTTTTCCATTTGAGTAAACAACTTGTACAAATGGAGACAATCTTTCCCTTGTAGTTGATGATTAATAATCCAGTGTTGGGCCACAAAGCAATTTACTAATTTTGGACATTGAGGGCCAATGTCCATGCTGATATTGGCGTGATCATTGATTGAAGAAGATACAGTTTTATCTGCATCACCTCTCCAATATACGCAAAATCCCCTCTCTACTATTTTTTCACAAGACACTCCTAAAAGAGCATGTGACCCTGTCCCCCTCGGGGCTTGAGGAGGAGATAATAACTCAAAGAGATTGTCTCTTTCAGGGATGATCTCAGGCTAGAAACAGTGAGAAGGCCCCATCATGGAACACCACATGTTAAGGACCAGAATTTGCACACTGATCAAAGGCTAAGTGGATCTGGTGGCTGACTTCTGAACTAAAATGCTGCAACGACCGTTTGCAACATTTCTCTCTGACTTAGAGGGAACTTTTAGATGCCTGAAAAGAATTCCAGTCTCCACACTAGAAAAAAAAAGTCCCTTTTCTACCAAACAGTGCCAGAGCATCAAAGTAAAACACATATTAAGAAAGTAAAAACTTTTATTAGAATAAATGCAAAACAAATGCATTCAAAAACTATAATCACAGGGGGGCAATGTTGCGCAGCCCTTAATCAAATCAGATCTTGAGTAGTCTTCTAGATTCTATCACCTGTGCGAGAAAACTAAATGAGGACAAGGCTGAATCATTTTCTTTTTGATAAAAATTAAAACTAAGAGTGGTGTTGGTTATCTATGTGACTAACAATTTAAAATAATTAATGAAGGCAGAAAAAAGAGCTATTGTAGTGTTAAAAATACACTTTAACGTGTAGTAACATAATGTATGTTACAAGATGAATACTTACTATATAAGGAAATAAATCAATTTTGAGTAATAAAAAAATTAAATAAAACACTGCTAACAAAATACTCTGCTGAACATAAACAGAAACACAACAAATCGAGAAATTTAGCAAAAAGAAAAAAAACCAACTGAGGGTTAAGGAAAAGCTTCAAACAAGCTTCACATAAGGGAAGAGCGCCAGACCACTGGGGTGGGGGGGAATCATTACCATTAAAGTAATCAACACATAGACATTAGTAGAAATTCATCTCTACAAACAAGACCAAGGGAAAAAAAATATATTTCTCCCTTTTATGCATTTACTTTACTAATGGTCTGTCCCAAAAAGTGTTGATGACCGTCTCCCCCTAGTGGTCTGGAGAACTAATGTGAGCTAGTTTGCAGGTTTTTTAATTTGAAGGTTTTTTTTAGCTACTTGCAGCCTTTTTCTATGAATGTGTAATTTAAGTTTAATGTTTGTATTTGATAGCCTTATTTGTTTACAGGACTTTTGAATTTGCTATGATATGTATTGGCAGTGTTTGCGCCCTTCACCCATTGTAATTTATCATTTAAACCGCATAAGTAACCAGTAGCTAAGTAAAATCTTTACAAAAAACAAATGTAACTGAACGGAACACAAACTCAGAATGTGAGAAGCCTACCAGGTTTGTTCTTGCAGTTATCCTCTGTGTGAGGCTCATCATCAGGCACCACACAAAGGTTTGTCTCTCCATCCACGGGGCTGTGAGTTAATTTACAACAGTGATTAGCATGATAAAAGAGGCACAAAATGCGTGTCTCTTAAAAAAAACAATACATAGAAAAAAATAAAATACAGACATTTTTCCGTTCTGCTGGAGGATGCTGTTCGCTTGTTCAGGGTCTATGTGAACCAGCCTGGTGACAAAGGAATGTCCATCTCCTTGACTGAAGAATATTAAAACAATACTGATGAGCATGCTAGTTCATTTATAATCGCTTCAATTTTATAGAAATGTTATTCAGCAGTCTGAACAAGACTTTGACATATTTCAGTAATTTAGATTTTAATAAGTTCATTCAAATTCAAAGCAATTTTTTTTTTGTTAAATGAAGACCTGAATAAATGACTGCAAAATTGGGTTTTCACTATTTCAATGTTTTACTCGCTTGAGTTTAAAATATTTCAAGCAGCAACATCAAGTTGATGAAAACAAATATTTCTGATTGGACACACAGCTTTTTTTTAATGTCTGTGAATCACTTATTTTTTTTCGATTTGGTAGTGGTTTTCGTTTCAGGAGGGGGTCAGTCATATGGTATTACTTTGGTCATGTGCAGCGTTAGAAACAGTCAAATAACTAGTTACAGTTACTTCTCCCAAAAAGAAACTTAGGACGTTTCTCATTATGCGTACTCCTGAGTTCTCATATGCTCTTAAAACATTATCAAGCTCAGCCCCAGCACTGCTTCAACAGACAAGCACACAAGACAGACAAGGAACAAAATCCTGGATGTTGTTCTCGCCCCTTCCTCTTTACTGAGCGTGCATCGGTCCAGATTTGCGCGTTCTTCAGACTGACAGCTGTCCCAGCGCTGACGGAGCTCAGAGTTATAGGTTAAGTTATAGGTTAAAAGTTGCCATTTCTGTTGCCGTTGTTCTACGAAGGTACAGCACAGAACAAAATTTGGGACGCAACTTCTCATTCAAAGAGTTTTCTTTATTTTCATGACTATAAAAATTGCAGATTCACACTGAAGGCATCAAAACTATGAATTAACACGTGGAATTATATACTTAAAAAAAGTGTAAAACAACTGAAAATATGTCTTATATTTTAGATTCTTCAAAGTAGCCACCTTTTTTGCTTTAATTACTGCTTTGCACACTCTTGGCATTCTCTTGTTGAGCTTCAAGAAGTAGTCACTGAAATGGTTTTCACTTCACAGATGTCCCATCAGGTTTAATAAGTTTAAAGCTTAATGGGATTTATTGCCTTATAAATGGGGTTGGGACCATCAGTTGTGTTGTGCAGAAATCAGGTGGATACACAGCCGATAGTCCTACTGAATAGACTGTTAGAATTTGTATTATGGCAAGGAAAATGCAGTTAAATAAAGAAAAATGAGTGGCCATCATTACTTTAAGAAATGAAGTTCAGTCAGTCCAAAAAATTGGCAAAACTTTAAAAGTGTCTCCAATTGTAGTCGCAAAAACCATCAAGGGCTACAAAGAAACTGGCTCACATGAGGACCGCCCCAAGAAAGGAAGACCAAGAGTCACCTCTGCTGCGGAGGATAAGTTCATCCGAGTCACCAGCCTCAGAAATCGCAGGTTAACAGCAGCTCAGATTAGAGACCAGGTCAATGCCACACAGAGTTCTACCAGCAGATACATCTCTATAACAACTGTTAAGAGGAGACTGTGTGAATCAGGCCTTCGTGGTAAAATAACTGCTAGGAAACCACTGCTAAGGACAGGCAACAAGCAGAAGAGACTTGAACACAAGGTATTGACATTAGACCAGTGGAAATCTGTGCTTTGGTCTGATGAGTTGAAATTTAAGATCTTTGGTTCCAACCATTGTGTTTTTGTGCAATGCACAAAAAGATTAATCGATGGACTCTACATGCCTGGTTCCCATGGTGAAACATGGAGGAGGAGGTATGATGGTGTTGGGGTGCTTTGCTGGTGACAAGGTTCGGGATTTATTCAAAATTGAAGGCATACTGAACCAGCATGGCTGCCACAGCATCTTGCAGCGACATGCTATTCCATCCGGTTTGTGTTTAGTTGGACCATCATTTTTCAACAGGACAATGACCCAAGGGCTATTTGACCAAGAAAGAGAGTGATCGCATATTTTCAAGTAAGACATATTTTCAGTTGTTTCACACTTTTTTGTAAATATACAATTCCATGTGTTAATTCATAGTCTTAACGCCTTCATTGTGAATCTTCAATTTTCATAGTCATGAAAATAAAGAAAACTCTTTGAATGAGAAGGTGTGTCCAAACTTTTGTTCTGTACTGTAGGTTTTCAGATCATTTGAGGCAAGAATGTTACTATGTACCGCTGTTGCTCTCACATTATTCGTGTGACAGTTATTATAATTCAGGTCATGATAATAGATAGCAGCACTGCTGATGTTTTTTAAAGAATCCAAAGGGGGGGGTGAAACATGGCATCAGGAAATATCCATCATCAGCCATAACAGTAATATCAATATCTGTGCTTCGCTAATTTTAAGCCTAAGGCTGTTTCTCAATTCACAAGAATGAGAGTATGGCCTCACGTTCTAGCCAAGATCACAGGAAAGTATGGACTCAGGGAAAACAAGAGATAAATCTGGGTTAATTGAAACAGAAACGTACTTGTGATGTCACCACATTCAAAGCTTGTCTGGGCTGCATTTCACCTCCTGTTATTGTTTCTAGATAATAATACACCATTACTTTTTTTTCAATTCAGTGAGGGCAGCGTTGTGCATTCACTGAATATGTTGATATTTTTAGTTAAGGGTGGACAAAAACAATATCCAGGGACTTTTTCCATTCTTGGTCTTGTGTTCTTGTGAACTGGAAAAGTGCTGGGGCTGATGACATTTCACGGGCGCACAAGCACATGAGAACACAGAAGTACACAAAACGAGAAACAGCCCGACTGTTTTAGAACGAACAATTCATAAGGGATCATGAAATATCTTGAGACTCACCTTGAGAAAACAGGGAAAATCCAGTACTTTGCCTGTTCTCCAAACACCTCAGCTACATTTCGTTTAAAGCCAAGAGAGAAGCCATTTTTGTCTGGACCATTTGCAAAAACAGGAGCTCTAAATGCCTCTAAAAAAATTAAAAGATTTAACTTAAGTTAGCAATCAATTTTTAAAGAACAAAAAACTGTCATATTAAACAGATTCATATTTACCTATAGTGGTTCTGTTCTTCCCCACAAGCCACATATGGTAGCTATAAAGTGATACTATGCTAATGAAGAAGAGTGCCGCAACAAAAAATAGAAATAAGATGTGGAATTTCGCGTGTGTGTCAGGAAGTTCTTTCTAAAAACAGAAAGAAAAAAACAATTAAAAACACTGAGAAATATTCCCTTCTGCGTTAAATTTTAATGTTTTAGATTTCTGTAGTCATATTTAAGAGTTTCTAGAAAATCCTTGAAGTGAAAAACAACCAACAAAAAAAAAACTGCTACACTTTTATTTTTTTAGATTTAATAACCTCAAAAGAACAATTCATCTGTTTGACACTTTTACAGAGGTGAATTACGAAACAAACACATCAGAGGAAGTTTCTGTACTCACCGTCCAGAATTTGATGAAATACTGCACAACGGTCGCACAAATGACAACACAGTAGAGCGTTGCGTAGGCCAAGAATAGAATAAAGAACTTGTAGTTTGAAAACCCAACACAGTTATTCACCCTGAAAAACAAATTCAGAGACAAAGAATAGAGAAAACCTGACAATATAGGATTGTAGTTTAAAGAAAGATGTGTCATTCACTACAAAATTATATGGCTTCATAATAATGAATCTAAAAACCAACATATTAAATATATCTGCTTAAAGGGGTCATAGAATGATTATATAGGGTATTTGGTGCTGGTTCTTAAGGTCTCTGAATAGGTTTTGTAATGTTGGTTAGGCTAAAAATTGCATATTTGCTGTTCAATGAGCCCTAATGCAAGCCTGGTTAAAAGCCCTGAAATGAAACTACATTTTCTTCCTTTTATGCTAAGCTCATGAGTATTTAGATGAGCTGTGCTCTGATTGGATGGTTTACAACGAGCGAAGCTGCTGAGCAAAGAGGCATCATAGCAACTAGCACTCACTCACTGAAACATCGAAATTGTTGATATGGTAGGGTGACAAGACGTCCCCTTTTTCCCCAGACATGTCCTACTTTTCATACCTAAAAAAAATGTCCGGGGGGAATTCCAAAATCGTCCGGGACTTTGGTCGACTACAGTGCAGCACGTAGTCGAAACACACCGGGCACTCAAACCGAACCGTAAGCCTTGGGGCTGGACTAGGAACCCCAGCGGACGGGGGCAGGGAGCCAGCGAGGAACGGAGCAACCGAACCAGACCCGGTGAGAGTAGCCTGGACACTGGCGGCCTACAGCATACAGTCACTGGGTCTGGTTTGGTCGCTCCGTCCTCAGCTGGTCACCCTAGACATAAGCTGTCTTCTGTAAAATGCTTAGAGCAAATGAACAGCTGAGCATCAAACTTTGCAGAGACCTTCTGATAGACAAAAATAATCCATGCCTGTTGAGTCTTCGGATCCTTGGGAAGACTGTGAAAATGTCCCCTTTCTCCGAGCAGCCTGGAACCATGCATTTATGGCCATGGTTCTGGCTCATTTTCAATAGAGTAACTGCCTGCTTTGTAATTCTTGTAGAAGTAAACCGAACTCTAGGCTAAACAGCTAAACTAGTGTCTTACATCTTCGCGATCTCTATTCATATTCGCGTTTACATCAACTCGGGCCTTCATTTGGATTCGCCCGATTTATGGTGGAAGTTCGGAATTGTGAGTTTTGTAGAGAAAGGAGGTGTCGATGGGGTTTGAACCTCTCTGTACGTCCATTTCACCCACTGAACTATTGTTATTAATTTAAGACAATTTAAACTTGGTTTTGCATTCTATAACCCCTTTAATGTGTTATGCACCAATTTTCAAAATCTCACCAAGGGCAATGATGGTCCATTTTCAGCACACACCTTGACAAATGGAAACAAGAGAAATTAAATTGATTTACGAATAATATGTTTAAATAATACCTTATTTTCTGGGCTACAGAGTGCACCTCACTATAAGCTACGCCCACTAAGTTTTTTTGAAAAAACTGAAAGTGTACATATATAAGCAGCATCGGGCAATATGCCGCTGATATCCACTGAACTGTCTCCCACCAAATCTGTAGGGGTAGCTCTGCATATCGCCCCTGGAGTAGGGACGAATGAATGCTAGCTCCCGTTAGCTTGTTTGCTAGCAGCAGTAAGAGCTTCTACTGAAAGATGGGGCTTCGCTGGCTCTATTTCAGCTCTGCAGGAGTTTAGCCAAATTTCCTCATTGTTTCGGCAATTTTAATGCAACAAATAAATGGCTAAATGTGGGAATTCAGGACATTTGTTTCCGTCATGGCTGCTGCTAGCATATTCTCATGCCAAATGGAAATTAGCCCATTATTATTTCATTTCCAGCTTTGACTTCCCGCTCTGGGGGTTAAAAAAAATCCACAACAAAGCCGCACCTTCTTATGAACCGAATTGTTTAAAGCGTGGGGAAAAAGTAGAGGCTCACAGTCTGGAAAATACGGTACATACATAACATTTTTTTTTATCTGAAATAAATCCTACTGAAGCTTTTGCTCTAGTCATATATCATATATTGTGTATATATATATATATATAGGGTGTAAAATAATTATAATTAAAGAAACTAAAGATTCTAACAGTAATTGGTTTTATTTTGCTTTTCCACACATCCTCTGGTACATGAAGCTCGCTGTGACAGTTTTATTAATATAAAGTACATTTCTATGATGTACTATCTTTAGATGTGGTCATGTGAATCCCAGCCGATAATATCCAGTAGCAGCTGACTCATAACCACTTGGTTTGATCAAAGGTCACAGTTGTTCATATTTATGAGTCAGCTAGTCCAAACAATGATCAGAACCACAATCGGCGGTAATGGGCTGTTCTCAAACTAGAATAGAATAATCTGTTTGTTTAGAAAAAAGTCAACAGGATAAAAATGCAAACAAAATCAGATGATCAAGTAGTTTGTTAACAATCATTGAACAGTGTGGAAAAAAATCCCTTCTTTTGTTGTTTACAGGTAGAGATAAACATAAGGAAGAAAGTACAGAAGCCATAGCAATAGGTGTGATAGAAATGTACAAAATTACAAAAAGAAATAAAAAAATTAAGCTAAACCAGAGGAGCTATGGCAAGCAAGTTCAAAGAGCAACCAACCTAATGATCAATTAGGATGAAAATAACCTCATAAGCCAACAGAAATAGAGTGGGATACCTAGTCCATCCAAACGTAAAAGGCCTAATGTTTCTCAGTGATTAAAATGTGTAATTTGTAGGAACCTTAAATGAACAGATAAAGCTCTCGTAATAAAAAAAAAGAATACAAAAACTTTATAGACACTTCTTAATATCGTTTAAAAACAACCCTTAACAAAGGGTATTTAATCAAGGGAGGGAACTCACATTTCACATGTTGAGCAGTGATGACAGCGATCAGGTTTTATAACTTGACAGAAATCACAGTATCTGATGGCTGTGGAGAGAAATGCAAGCAGGATAATAATAAAATTATAAGTCCTGAGTAGGTATAGGCATCTTAACAGTTTTACAGTATGAAAAAGGTTTGAACTTCTAAAGTGTTCGATTATAATGTACCTGCAGTTTCAGCGTTATATAAAATCTAAAACCAGCAGAGAAAAAGTGAACAGATCCCAGAGGGCGTGTGTAGCAGCTGCTGCAACATCACATACCCCTAGCCGCTGGCTCTGCTCTGCAGGTAGTATAAAGAGTGAAGGAGGAAAGCATCCAGAATCCCTCCCAAATCTTACAAAAACAACTAATTTACCAATCAATTGTTAACAGCAGTATAGAGACTGCAAAATACACCTTTAACTGACAGAGCAACCCACTTAGAGCAGTAATTATAGAAGAGAAAATACTTTATTTTCCCACAATGGGGAAACTGTGCTGTTTATAACAGCAAAGGTTATAGTAGAAGCAGCCACACAAGGTGCACCATAGAAAGTGCATAAAAATAACAAATATGAAAGTTAAAACAGAGTATTGTACTGTACAGTGTTTTACAATATATTACTCTGTAACTGAAGAATAAAAAAAAAAAATCAATAACAGTTACAGACATTTTTACTGTAATGTATATGTGACAAATAGTAGCAACACCAGAGTTGTGTAACAAAAACGTGCAATGACAGCAGCAAATTATTTAATTGACTAAGAAACTGCAAAAATCAGCGTCAATCTAACAACTTATTGAGGTTGTTGGGAACAGTGATGGTTGTATAAAGTCTTACAGCTGCTGGGAGGATATAGGTTTACAGAAATTTTATTATATTGTAATATACCAAATTTGCTAAACAAATATACAAGGTATATTCAATGAACTTTTCAAGTTCAAGGAACTTTTTACTGTCCGATTATTAATCAATTAATCGAAAAAATAAGCAACAGATTAATCGCTTAGCAAAGTTATTGTTAGTTGCAGCCCTAGCTATATGGAAATACTTTGGTTACCCCAAGAAAATGGACGGCAATGGTTTGGAGGAGGAAGGACCCCCTACCAGCAAGATGTGCTTTGGGACAGTGACAGGCAGAGAAGGGGATACATCTGTAGTAGTATCACTTAATGTTATTTGCTAACACCATTCTAGAGTTTGTTATTTTGAAATGAGCAATCTACCTTTAGCATCAGGCATTAGTCTAAAACTAAACCACTGTGTTACTGAGGCAGATGGTTTGATAATAGAGCTGGTCACAACTTTAGTCGATTGATTGTGTATTTGATTAGTTATGAGTGAAAGGCAATAGTACTGAAGGTCTCCATAGCTGTAGTTGTGGATTATGTGTTCATTAGTTCATACTTGTAATTTCTATTAGCTCTCTGTGCATGTAACAATTGTTAGCATACAATATCCATGTTAAACCCCACTTCAGAACTAAAACCAATAGAAAAACTACCGATAATAGTAAGTCCCTTTGCTGTATAATCTATTTGCATTATGAGGCAGAAATCGCACACTGCAGAGGGAGTGGAAGCCTACGAAAAATAAGGTGTCATGCATAAAATAACAGCATGACACCTGTGATCTATTAATAGCTACCACTGACAGTTAAAGCCCACTATGATAGAGATTATGTTGAAGATCAGCCCACAACTTAGCAAGCATTTGGATTTTCTTCTTTTTCTTTTTTTTTAATTCAGACATTTCAAATTAAACATGTAACTTTTATAACATATTTTTGCTAAAGGTTTTAACACCTTCAGAATTTCATACCAGCCCATACCTAGTCCTAGTGTACAGAAAAGAACCTGATTGAAGCATTTAATTAGATATTAATTATTTAAAGAATTTTTAAAGCTACTCATCTCTTTTGTATATTTTTTTTTAATTGTGTAGTATAGCTCCATAGGAGGCAGGGCCCCTGAGTTAGTTTTAATTCCACAGAGAAAACAAGGTGTACTGGAGTCTAATTAACCCTCCTACATTTCCGTAAACAAAAGAAAGACCAGTTTAGTAGTCAGTAAAAAAAAAGGAACATCTCACAGTCAGCATGATCTGCACTCATGCTGTAAACAGGAAGACAAAATGTAGCAACTGATACATGAGGTTTCCTTTCTATTAATTATATATAATGTGGTGTATCTGAGGAACTGATCTCTTCCTCCATTTAGAATACAGTTATTCAGCAGGAGGGTTTTTCTCTCAGCACAAACAGAGATTAAAGCTTCACCTCCTCCAGCTGTGCGCGTGTACACAGGTACATTTCTGGCCGCTTTCTTCAGGATCTCTTGCTGAACTTCGGCTCGTTGCTCCTTCTCGTACAGATCCTTCTCTGCTTGGGGCAGGGCAAACTAACGGGCAAACAAGGCAGGAGTCAGAGAGCGACCAGCACTTTGTGATTTGCAAAAAAATAAAAAATATTCAAACCCCTTTTCAAATGTCACAAAATAGACATCTTAAAAGCGTGACATGAGTTTGTATTCAGTACCACTGAGTCAATACATTTACAGAAACTCCAGAACAAAAAAGGCCTTCTGGTCAGGAATTAGGATTTAATTGTTGTTGTGTTAGGTGGAGAGTTTATTTATAAAAGCGTTTATCCATACAACTATAGCCAAACAATGAGTTCTACTTTTTTGTAATTTGCCTAGAAAACCTTCTTCCATTGAGGGCCTTTATTTTTCCTTGTTATTCTTCCTAGAAAATTCAGATGTGTTGCGGCCAAAAGAAACTTCCCCGATCAACAGATTATTCCACTTGACCTTTTGCTCCCTCAGGCAATACTCTTAGTTTTGGTGATAAACCATGTCATGGTGGTTTGTGTCTAGATGATGAATTAAACAGTGCTCCAAAGCCTTTTTCCCACTGAAACTACACTATAATCATTTGGCTGATACAATAAAATGGGGCGATAAGCTAAGAATCGGCATTTAGCTTCCTTCCCACTGGCAAAAAAGCTGGGTCTAACCCCTGGCTGGCAAGACGGTGCGACAGAAATCAGGAAAGTAAACAATGGAGAGCAACATGTAAGGAAGCCAGGGATTAGTAATTGGTTTGAATTAAACAGAGATGGACAGCAAAATGCAAAGACATGCCACACTTTTCAGATATTTATTTGAAAACACTTAGGGGATGAGTTACCACTTAGTGTATTCTCTGGCAATTATTATATTTTTTACTTGTCAAATAATCTAAAAAGAATTTTGAAGTTGTTTTTTATATATATATATATATATCTTTACAGGAAGAAGCATCGCTTGCTTACTGCTATTGAAGGACTGGCAGGTTTGGACCAGATCGTTTTCCAGTAGGACCATATGAACATGGCAAAGAAAATATGAAAGATGACCAAATAGCTGACTGTTGAGGGAAAGAAGATGTTTTATTTTGGTTATTCAGGCATTCTTACATAACTTTGCTAAAATCAAACTTTCAGTTAGACTTAATAAACAAACAATGGATTAGTGAGGTGGTGTGTTAACAGGCACTTACTTCGTTCCGCATCATTTGGGATTGTATCTATATGGGGAAAGGAAAATAAATATATATGTATATAAGGTCATTGAGTGTGAATGGATGCTATTGGAAATGTATGAATACATTTCAGACAGAGACACAGCCTCCTCTCTTGCGCCATGCGGCTGCAGCCTGGCACGGGCAGCAGTGGGCCACCCATAACAGGGCGCTTTGTCTGAGGACCATGGATGGCCCGATCTGACCACAGCTGTTAGATCTACGCTAATAGATGCATAACCATAGATTGTATTAATAGTATGGTAAAACATCAAGAAAGCATAAAAATTTAAAATAAAAAAACAGAGATACTGGAGCAAACAATATAGAACATCATAAAATACACACAAAAAAATTGATCCAGGGTACATTTGAAAAATAAAGAAAACTGTTTGATTATACAAACAATTAATTTATATAATCTTAGAGGGTGAACAATTTTCGTATACAGAAAACATCACAGTATGTAGATGACAAGAAAAATGTATTGTATTTATAAAACATATTTATATTATATTTATTTATTTATTTATTTTTTTCCCCAATTAATCTGTTTTTTTTTCCCCAATTAATCTGTTAAAGAAAAAAACTTGCCTGGCTTCTGCCATATGAATTATTTATTTTTTTGTGTAGAATTATCATTTAAATAGTAAAGAGAACTATTCCAAAAATATTTAAAAAGAAAATTCAATGATTATGTAAAATTATATAAAAATTTTAAAAGGATCCAACTCCTTAGATGCAAATGTAACAGTTACACCGATGTTAAACCGGTTTCTGTTATCATCAGATGCATATTTTCGAGCTATTTAGTTGTTCAAACATATAAAATCCGTGCGGTATTGTCTCCCTGCCCTGGTCCTTTAGCGGCTGGTTTTAAACCTCACTTCAACCCGCTTATTAAAGTTGAAATCCCCTGAATCAGTCAGACATCCGCATATATGCAGCCCGGACGCGGTGAAACACTCATTAACAAGTAGCGTACTTACACACACAGAGCTCCACCACATAGGCGTAATAAGACCAGGCGACAACCAGGTTAATAAACAGGACAGGTATCCAGTTCAGAGCCCGTTTACAGCACCTCAGCGCATGAGAAGGGGCCATCTTTAATCCGTCTACCTGGGGGTGACGTCACAGCCGAGAATTTATAAGCGCTGTTCAAAGATGCAATAATAGTAAGATAGTTCACTCCGACATAAAATCAAAGAGACAACAAGTTCAAGATGTATCACTCCCTCATAGCCTTAACAATCAAGACGGGGCAGAAGCACATTCGTGGTGGGACGCAATTAAAAATTTTAATTTAGTTAAATACAGGGTCTTTAATTAATTAAACACAATCAATCGCATTTCAAGTGAAGCCCATATATCAACTAAAAAGAAATTTTCATTTCAAAAACATCCTTTTCCTCGGTAATTGAATAAATTGATCAGAACAATATCTATATTTATTGGTTTTAATCCAGCTATTTAGGTTGTCAATCTGATTGGTTGAATGGTTAAAAATTTACTTTGGAAACCCATAAATTATTTGTAGGCTATCGAATTGTAAACAGTACATGAGCATTAATTATTATACAAATCTTTACAATAAATATGGTAAAAAAAAAATGTATACAATATTTTCTATAAACTGAACATAAAGCTTAATTTCTTATACTGACAGAACTATGACAGTTCAGCTCTGCATAAAGCATTAAAAATTGTTGTTCAATATGGAGCCTTTAGTGCAATTAAAATAATTGCTTTTGTCAATAAACTAGTTACATACACAAATAATCTATGTTCCTGGTCCTAGTTCCTTCCTACCAGCCAGCACTATGTTTGAGCTTGAATATCCCCAGTGGACAAAATGTCTGTGATACAGCTTGTGTGTTAGATTTACAGGTGTACATGAAACAGGGAGTACAAAGATTCCCGTTTGGGACTAAAATTTCATACATGCTTTTATTTATGCGTTAAAATGTTACAATGTTACAATGTTTCAAATAATCAAGTCCTGGCCTTATAAATCTATGTTTTAAAGGTATACTTAGACTTAGACAAAGACTTAGACTTAGAGACTTAGACAGATTAATTTTGTCATTTTGTACACACAAGTGTAAACAAAAAGGAATTTCATTGAGAACAGCTCTCTAGACAATTTCATTTTTTTAGACGTGCAGCCTTGAAAACAGTAAAAAAAAAATACATAAAAACAGTAATATAAACATATGGCTGTATATTTACAGTTACAACATTTAAGTCTTGTTTTTTGTTTGATGCACTTGAGGTGCATCTGACCTTAATGTGTACCAGCTTCAAAAATGAAGCAGCAGGCGCTTTTTTGTTGCCCAAAGCTCGCCAAGTGTGAACGTAGCATTAGGAATGCTGTTCGATTCAGAATGACCAACTCAACCCAATAGTAGTTACATATTCCTTTATTTGCTTATTTATTTGACAAGGGACATTGGACATTAATCAATATTTTAAAATGTAAAACATGTCTGAGTAAGCTAAGCAAATTGTTAATGGTAGTTTGTTTGGCTGTTGTCAAGGCCAACCTCAGAAAATAAAAACACATAACAACCAAAGGATACAGGGGAGATATATATATGTATATATATATATATATATATATATATATATATATATATATATATATATATATATATATATATATATATATATATACAACCAGTATTTACACATAATCTACATGAATACATCATGTAAATATTCCAGATTTAGCCAGAGGCTAAGTTTGTTAAATAAGTACTTGGTTACATTTCTAACATATGTTGTTCCTTCTCATTTCAATCATCTAGCTTATCAAATTACAACTAATAATTGTCAGCTGTAGAATTTAGCATTTAAGTCCTATACTTGCATTTTAAAATCTATTCAAAATATGTGACAAAAAGCCTTATTTTTCTAAAACTTGTAAAGTGTCTGTATGAAACTGTTGGAGTCACATTCAGTTTCATTGTTGAATAATCTATGCCAAAACATTTAATTGTTTAAACCTGTTTACACTGACCTTTTTTTTATTTTTTTTTATTTACCAATTTAAGTTTAAACCAGAAATGCTTTCATATAATTTCATATTTATGAAGTAAAACTCAAGCAATCCTTGTTGTACCAACACATCTTTAGGGCCCTAAACAATTTTTGCTGCAAGAAATGTGGTGATTCCAAAACTGTAAAATGTCTAGAAGTTGTCATGGTGCAAACCAAAGGATACCCCCCCTCTTTTTTTCCCACATTCATTAAATTTTTTTATGAAAGAAACGTGCGACGATCAGTCCGATTTTAAAAGCTGCATTCTACCTTATGGCCAGCAGGGAGCAGTATTTTGCAGCAAAAAGTCAAATTAGAGTAGGTTGAAGGTAACAAAAGTGATTCAGCTGTTAAAAAGAAAGAGTGTTGAATTGCAAAAAAAAGTTACATTTACTAATAAATAATTTATATATAGAATGTTTGAAAACTATTAATTTTATTAGTAAAATTTAGCATAGCTTATTGAATTTTAAAATGTGAAAGATGCATGTAAAAATGCAAACAGATACCATGAAACAAAAATGGTATTCTCGCTTTGCTTTATTATGTACAACATCCTTTCTCATTTGTAGTTTAGCACACTCATAATAAATTAAAGGAGTCAATCTGTACACATTCCACATATGAGACACGCTGAGTACCAGCATAGTGTCTAATAATCAGACGTCTCCTTAACAGAAGAATGGGTCCTGTTTTGGGATGGGGATGGCGAGGAAGGAGGAGAGGCAGAGGGTGAAAGTGATTCAGGTGAATCTGGACGTCTTCTGGTAGGGCTGCTGCTGGGAGATCCACGAGGCGATGAATAGGGTGACAGGGCCTGGAGCATGCGGCCACTGCGCTCCTGGATAACATGCTGAAAAAGAGAGGGAAAGAGAGATACTATCATGTTATTTTTGTACTTTATGCATTAGTTTAATCATTTTAATCTGGATTTATAAAAAAGAGCTTGATGGCAGGCTCTGTGGTGATAAAATAAATATTCTCCAACAGTCCAATATGACTGATTAACCCGTCAGAACATGGATTTTCAACTAAACCATATTCATCTTAGAATCCAGAAATGTGCCTAAATATGTTTCCATTTTAATTTCACCTGATGTTTTCTCCCTCACTTTATTTGATTTTTGGGTTAAAACTAGTGTTGCACCGATACCAATACCAACGATACCAATACCAGTATCAGGCTGGACTGGATTCACTTTGTATTAGTCTTTTTCCTGCTTTACAAAGGTAGGCAGCTGCTTGACAAAGCCATGATGGCAATTATTTTACATCCAAGTACTATGCAGTTCTTCATATATACACACGCACATCAATTTTTAAACAGATGGTATCGATATCGGCAAATACTGCACAGCCAAGTATTGAGCCAAAAACACTAGTTAAAACACAGTATATGTACCCATGCTCTATCTGGTCCAAAAAGCTCCAGGAAATTCCCAATGAATTCCCGTGATTTCTCCTCCCACTTGTGGATGAGGTCCTGGCTCTTCTCCTCCACTTTGTTCACAAAATGCTTCGACTTTTCCTCCACTGTTCGCACCGTCTCTTTCATCTTATCCACCTGATTCTGGAGACGATACTTATTCTCCTACAGGAAAAGAATACTTTGAGTTTATCTTTATGTGGTGGATTTTTTTATACAGAAGTGAAAGATTTTCTAACCTTAAGAAACCCAACATTGAGTTCTCGAGCTGTGTATCCTCTCTGCAGGTTCCGCCGGACATAGATGTCATAGTCTCGGACGATCCTGGTGATCAGATCAGAGGTGGAGATGCCTTCAGTCCTCTGGGTGGCCACAAACATTCCTGATATGAATGAACAAATCCTCAAATTCATTTAAAACAGTAAAAGTAACGTATTGTTAGTAATGATTGCACTGAATGCTGTAGATCCTCACCTGCTTCCTTAATGTGCTTATAAACGTCCTCTGACCCAGCAGATGTGTAAGGAATGTCATCATGGGCCACAAAGTCGATCTATAGATGGAAGAAGGGTGCATTCAGGCTACATACATTAACACATGTTTCAGTATCTTTTCTACCAATAAAATGTCCTGCCATGGTTGAATTCTGACCTTGTGTTTCTGGAGGAACTCTGGTGTAAGTGTCCAAGGAGCATCCCGCACCACCTCGTCGACATAACGACAGTGTCTGAGAGCGTCATAGCGCTCGTCTTCTGTCATCACAGTGTAGCCTTTAAACTTGTGGGTGAGTTCGTCACTGCACACTATTCATGTAAACAAACACATTCGGTGTATTATAACAAAACTGTACATATATAAAATGGTGTAAAATCAGTTAATAAATTAAAATTTGACTTAAGTTTTATTAGATTGAGATTCATCATGTATGTAGAAGGTAATCATAGCACATAAATGTAATAAACATTTGTATAACCACCTCAACTTTTAGTGCATTTTATTTGGATTTTTAATGTGATAGTGTTATGATCTGCCATTCTGGAATTTCTCTTCAGGTTTTCAGCCAGGCTTGGATTTATAAGTTAAAAATTATATCTTTGTATTATATTCCTACTTTTACTATTCCTGTTTGGTAGATTTTCAGTTATCTCCTTTTCGACATTCCTTTGTCTTTGCTCTTATTCTATTTTGCCATTCATTGTTTACAGATATCTTTAGGTTATGTTTCCCAGTTATTCTCCATTTCCCCCCAGTATCACCTTCCTCTTCTAGTTCTTTCTCTCCACCCCTGTTCCCACTCAGATCATTACACCAATCTTTGTCCTGTTAGTCTGTTAGTCTACTCCAAAGTGTATATATACCCCTCCTCTACAGTTTATCCTTACTGGATCTTCGTCTTTAATTCATGTCCTCCTCAATTCCTGTCAGTCCCCTCCCGTTTACTCTGCTCTGGTTCCCCCATTCCTTGTCTGATTATTTTTGGATTTATACAACTACTGCCTTTATAATTAAATCTACAAGAAACAATCTCTGCCTCTGTCTCTTCAGTTTGAGTCCAACTACAATCTTCTCTATTTTATGACAGATAGATCAACAAAGGTGTTATTGTTAAGTAAATGATTCATAGCCATGTTCAGAAAACTTAGATAAATTGCTTCTAGGTCTATTTAATTTAGTACCTCCAAATAAATTCTTGCGTGTCATTTAAGGTCAGTGTAATAACAATAACAACTGTTTTATAAAAGCCTCAAAGGTTTGTTAGATAACATGAACACAACAGGCAGGTTAATGACATCAATTAAAAGAGGGTTTGGTCATCATACAATATTAAAACATCTCATAGAGAAGTATTGATGCAATTTCTTTTAAAAACAACAACTGTAGCCTGCACGAATGTGAATCAGAGAAACAACCAAGAGCTCACTGGTCACTCTGGAGTAGCTACAGATCCACAGGTCTCATGGAAATATATGATAGACCTGTCACAGATCTTACCTTTATAGAAGAAGCCATGCAGGAGACACAGCAAACAATTAGAAGAAGAAGGTGATGTGGTCAGGCAAGCCAGAAATGAACTTTTTTTGAATACAAACAAAAAGCTGGGCATGATCAAAGATGAAATACGCCTTTTTTAGTTTAGCTTAGAGTTTTTCAGGGCTGGACATACAGTCCCTAAATTGAAGGAGGATAGTGGCCGTGTCATGCTGTGGGAATGCTTTTTTTACAGTTGGGATGGGGAAGGGGTCAGGCAGTATTGGAATAAAACCTGTTAAAAGGTGCTAAAGGTATAATTCTATGTTACAGCAGGACAATGGGCCTAAACATACCTCCAGCATTACAGAGCAATAGAAAGATGAAAGAACAGCAATGTTAGAACAGCCAAGTCGAAGCCTAATTGTGTTTCAATTGGTGGTACAGAGGGTGGGTACAGAATTAACCCAGGATGGCTGAATTCAAACATACTGCTGAGAATTTAATGTTTTTAAAGTTTTGAAAAAAATACACAGTGGTCCTTCCACCTACAGATTATATTCACATCTGTTAGTCGATGACATAAAATCATAATAAAATGCACAATAGTTTGTGATTGTGAAGTCACAGAATAGGAAAATGTTTAAGGGCTTAATTTTTGATCCAATTAGAAATAATCCATTCTTTACCTCCTACTATCAGGTGAGTGTTTGGGAAAACATTTTTGGCCTGCATCAGGGCCCGGGCATGTCCCGAATGGAAAAGATCAAAGATTCCATCAGCGTAGACTCTCACCGGCCGTCGAGCTGCCAAAAAAGCAACATGCAAGCATGAACGTCATGTTCTGAACAGAAACTGAGATAAGAGTCTGTTTCTGTTACCATTACACTCATTTGAATTGATAAAATACAGCTGAAAGAGCAGTGCACTGATACTGAAGCTCATATCAAGATTTATAAGTCAATAAAATTGAAATATTAAAGATAATCTTTTCTTTCCTCCTCCTCGCTTCCACTAGAAGGTGCTGTCTGGATTTTGGCGTCAATATTTTTAGCTTTCAATGAAGAAAACTAAATCTAACCTGGCGTTCCTTTCCGGGCTTGAGCAATAGTCAGCTTTTCAAGTGGGATGTCTGTCTCATAACCATTTGGTTTGGCAAACTGTGCTGGATCCCGCAGAGCCTGAAGACAGAGAACTGATATAAAATGCCAAAAAAGAAGGATACTCTGTTTTTAGCCTGCCTGCAGCTCTCAGAACCTGCTGCAAGTCATAGCTGACATGCATTTGTCCCCTAAAACAATTCTTATTATATTTGTGCAATTTTAGGCATGCCTATATGACACATTGGAAGGAAGAGTGGAAGCAGCACTTACTGTAAGACAGGTAAGAAGGCAGGGGTACTTTGTTATAAAATGTCAGGCTTTCCTAACTTAGAAATAAGGAGTTTTGGTAACCTCAAAAAACAAGACATTTTTGTATCATCTCCAGGATAGAGCTGAAGCTGTCATAAAGCAACATACATCTTCTCATGTTCTTGTCTTGTCTGGACTTTAGCAGATGCATATATGCACCCTTATCAGCTGTGATGCAAGATATACTTTGAACCCTTGGTCCGGTTCTAATCTGCAGGGTGTAGGGTGCATATAAACATTGATTTACTCACGTTTCAGAAATTTATTCTCAAGTATTAGTTAATCCTTTAAATTGCACCATAGATAATTGCTGTGTTTGTCTCATAAAATCTGAAAAAATCTTTTACTTTTCTCGTCCATTTATAACAAATATTTCTTTTAAATTCCTTCCAAGTTACCATCTATCACAGTTACAGCTGCAGTGTCTGGTGGCAGTAGAGTTTTATCAAATTTGATATTTACAATCGAATAGCAACAAATGAAAAGTCTTTGTCTCTGATGATAAAAGCTGTTCACATTACTGCAAATATTTTTAGTTGTCATTTTTTGTTCTTTCTAATGTGATGAAAAAAAACAGTTCAACTTACAGCATTTCATGACAAAATCAGACCTACCTTTCTGGTGTCTCCTCCTTTCCGGTTCTGTGGGGTCTGTTGGTGTTGGTGGTTGTTGCTGTTTCGGCCTCGTCTCCTTCTTGCCATCGCGGATCTTCTGCTGGGATCTCACAGGCTGCGTCTCTCTGCTGGCCTTTCCAGCCTTACATGTGGGATGTGTGAGCCTGTGCTGCTTCTTAACTTTACATCCCATCAGCCTGTCTGACCCTGATGACGGGAGAACACGTCGAGCAAAGTTCATGCCACTCTGGTGAAGGCATTCGGAAATGGAGATTACATTTGCAATCAATACAAATCTGAGTTTCTTTCACAGTAAGGCTTTTTTTTTTGTGCTTGCTGGGTAACTGTTTTAGCCATTATACACATTTAACAGGTTGGTAATAGAGTGCTTTGGAAAGTCATATTTCTACAACTTCATGTGTATTCTTGGGGTTTAATGATAGAGGTACAGAAGGTGATGCATTTGGTGTGGAGTTAAATAAATACATGAATTGGGGCATGCATTTGTAGGGCAAATAAAATCAAATTCAAGAAACACCTTGATACTAATGAGGCTCATTTGCCATACCTAAGGTACTGTTTAGAAATAACAACCTTTAAGCAGCTATTAAACACGTGTTTTATTGAGCCCAGATTTCTTTATTAAACATTGTTGTTTTTTTTGTTTCTCTGATGTAATAGTCTAATCTTTTAGGTAGTGTTTTGTTTTAACTAAATCCATATGAATAATAGAAAAAAACTTAAAAACAACATTCTGTTTTATTAATCTATGGTGTGTTTTACAATTATTTCAATTAACAAAATAAGCTGTAGAAGATCCTCCTTCCTGCAACTAACATCTAAAACAAATGGCTGAAAAAAACAAGTTAGTACAACATTTTATTTCCCTTTGGGACGAGTAAAGCATTTTTAAACTGAATTAAATAGAACTTTCCAGTAATATTCATGAATGTCTTGCATTCTGAAGTTAACTCTTTATTTTTCATTTTATTCTATTCACCTAATTAAGTTATCCAGCACCAATTCAAACCTGTATTTTTGTTTTGATCCACTCTATAAAGACTCGTACTATGCTATTTCTGACATTTTGAATTGAAAAAGCTTCCTGGATGAAGCGAAATGTCTTCAAGCTTGGAAACAAAGACCCGTGGATTGTTTTTTAACTTTTTTGACCTGACGTCAAAAACCTAGATCACTGAGAATCTTCACCAGTTTTAAGAACTGCTCTTCTCTGATCAGATATCTGATATTTTGTCCTCTTTGAGCAATAGGAACTTCTCAGTCACATGCCTTAGAGGATTTTGCCTTCTATACCAATTACTTAGCTTGTGGTCCATGTGTGATTTACATGGTTTCAAGGTTTTAAACTCAGTTGTCTATGTCTTTTTCAACCATTCTTAGGTCAGTGTTACCAGCCACTTAGAGTTTTTTCTCGTCAACAGGTCCTAATCATGAACTTTGGAATTCTGCTGTGTTTAAGGACAAGCCATTACCCATGTTGGGTTTTTTTGTTTTGTTTATCCTACACAGTGACTCTTTTCCTTCCCTTCTTTTATTTAGTATTTATTTAGTTTTTTTAGATCGGAGAATTTGGGCAAAATTCCTCATTCATTGTGAAGAAGTTTCTAGTCTTCATAATTTCAGTTTCTCTTAAGGCCAGCTGGATCTGTCTGTAGGTTATCTACTGACTGGAAAGGTTTGCGCTCTTAGCTTGATCTCTGTTCTCGACATTCGGTTACTTTCTTTGAACTTCTTCCACTCTGCCTGTCGAATCCTAAGGTTTTTGTATCTCTTTTGAACATCTGTAATGTTACTTTCTGATAAAGACAAGTGTAGTCTCTAACCTGAAAGACATTGCAGTGTCCCTGCCGTGTACCTTGGTTGAGTGAATCAGAGAATAGATGCGTATCTCCTTCTTAGTATGTAGATTAGTATAATCTATGTAGAGATTATGGCTGATAATTGCGCTACTTCAAAACTAGGGTCTGTAGCCAGCGTTTTGTGTAATGAAAACCTCTCATTGCTACATCTTTATATTAATGATGAGTTGTCTCGTATATTCTTACTGAACTCTCTATAAAGCCTTTTAATGCCCTATTCGTCAGATTTTCCATAAGTTTGTTGTTTCTTTTCATTTCTTTGCAGATGATGTTCAGATTTATATGCCCCTTAAACTAAAAAATGGGAAAAATGAATCTCTTGAGCTATTGATAGATTGTCTAGCTGAAGTCAAATCTTGGATGGAACAAAGCTTTCTTCACCTTAATCAAAGTAAAACTAAAGTTATATTATTTGGTCAGAATCTTCATACTACAAATCCAGATCTAATTCTTGGTTCTTTAGCTGGGTTTCGTCAGACCTCTGCTGGGAATCTTGGTTTTACTTTTGACAGCTGTTTAAAGCTGGATAAACAAGTTAGCCCTGTTGTTAGATCAAGTTTTTATCACCTGCGGATTTTAGCAAAAATGAAATAATATTTTAGTTTTAAGGACTTTGAAGAACTTATCCATGCTTTCATTACATGGATTATTGCAATTCATTATATAGAGGCATGGATAAATCACAGATGCAGTGACTTCCATTGATCCAGACCGCAGCGGCTCTGCTTCTTACAGGAACCAGGAAGCGTGACCATATAAGGCATATACTGGCCTCTTTACATTGACTGACTGTCTTTTACCGAGTAGATTTTAAGTTTCTCTTATGAACTTATAAAGTCTTAAATGGATTATCTCCTCCTTATCTTAGAGACCTTTTAAAATTCCAGTCTGTGTGGAGAAGTCTACACTCTAATAATCAACTATTACTGACAGTTCCTCGGACTCGACTTAAGAGGAAAGGAGATTGGGACTTCTCTGTTGTTGCTAAAATTCTGTAGAACCATTTACCTCTTCAAATTCAATCCGCCCACAACCTGGATCATTTTAAATCGCTTCTTAAAACTTATTTTTATTCTTCGGCTTTTAATTGAAGCAGTGTTTCACATTCAGTTTTGTTAATTGGTGTTGTTGTCTTTCCTGTAAAGCACTTTAATGCAGTTTTATACCTGTTTTTAAAGTGCTATATAAATAAATTAGACATTGTCATTGACAATGCTCTGTTGATATTTTGCAGTTTTAAGATATTCATGATCCACATGTTTGGCCTAGAGTTATACATTTCTTATAGTCAATTAAGACTGGACATGTGTATATCTGCTCTGACAGTCTTTGATGACAAGTTTTTAAAACCAGCTGCTAGTGTTTGGCATACCTGTTCCTAAATTGGTTGATGCGTTTTGTCATAGTTGCCTCTTCGATGTTTTATTTGATCTTTATTGAGTACATTTTCTAATATGTATTCTACAGTCTGTTTAAATGTGAATAAACCACTTCAAAGAAACAGGATGTGTTTTAAGACAAGCATATTTTCGGGAATCGCCAAAGAGGGATATTTTGAAAGAAACAAGAAACTGTATTTGGGGGTTTTAAAAGAAGTGAAACTGTTTTCAAGAAAACTAAAATTAAATCTCTTCTGGTTCAAAGTCTAGAATAATTAAACTAACACCCACAACTATGCAAAAAATAAGCTTTTAATTAAGCTTTTTATATTTAATTTTGGGGTTTTTACTAATGATACTTTTTTACCCTTAAAAAACAATCAGTAGGTCAAACTTGACCAAAGGTATTTTAACTAAAAATTGTTAATATTAAATATTAAACTCTTTTTGATTGCAAAAGTTGAAATTCTTTTTTTTTTTTTTTAATGACCCAAGTTAGACTGAACAGGTTTAAAGAACAAACTAAGACTGTCAAAATTTGGACTGTATTGTTTTATATGTCAGCTCAGGATTAGTGAAAGTCTTTCTATTGTTTATTCTATTATTCACAGGTTTTCTGATAATATAAACTGCAAACAGTTACTGTATTGCTGAACAGGTTTCATATGGGTAGTAGAAACTGTTGGCTGATAGATACTGTAAAATTCATTAGGGACCCATCCCTGCTTCCTCCCAATATTTATTCAGCCCTTTTAATGGAGAATGTAAGGAGTGACACACCTAAAGGCATCCCGGGGCTTTCTTCTCTTCTCTCATAAATTCCACTTTCAAAACAAGTTTTACTTCTAATTACCTGAAGAGCAAACTCTTTGGGAATATCACAATAACCCCTTTATTCTAACCAAATACAATGAAATGCTGGTGAATTGTTGGAACTCCCCTACAGCTTTCACTTTATTAAAGGATAAAGTGTTTTATAAATTCACCATAAGTTGTTTTGGGTTGTTTTTTTGTTTTTTGTCTCTTATTTGGGTGATTCACATTAAGAAACATTAAGAAACCGGTCACAGAGCCAGTTTAAACCAGAAATAACTTCGTAGGTATTTCTCACCTGTGAACATAATAACCTAAGGAAAGGGGTGGGGCTTTCCTTGTGACAGCTTGCAGGGCAGGAGTATCGCCTTGCTGCTCCTTCGCTCACTTCCTGAAGTACATGTTTTAGAAATATGTGGAGATCCAAACAGAGCAGTGCTCTGGAACTTGGACACAGCAGGGAACAAGATACATCACACCACTGCTAAAGGTAAGAACGAGGAACATTTCCCATCAGAAACTTCTCTACTTAGGGCAGGGAGTAAATCCAGTAAATGTAGTCGAGAAAACCAGTTAGAAAGGTTAGGGGTTTCATTTTCTGTCAGTGGCAGACTGACTGAGAAACTAACTGAATATTAAAGTAGGTGGAGACAGAGCATTAAACTGTTTCTATTCTTTAGCTTGCCAAACCTAAACCTCCTCTGTAAATAAGTAACTTGTTTTCTGGTCTTGTCTTTGGTTTAATTACAACAAGGTGTAACTACTGTAGATAAAAAAGCGAGCACTCTCCTTTAGTCTACACCCACCTGAGAGTATAAAACTATCAGCTAAACATCCTATGTGGCTTTCTGATACAGGAAAGTATCAGCCTAGTTCAACATTTCTTTTTTTTTGTCTACAGTTCACCCAACATGTTTTTGTGGCCATATCTGACACCACTCCTGCTGATAGCACTCCAGCTATGCACAGGTAGGAGTTTGCAATATGGGAAAAATAACAAACACGTCTTAGCATCACATTTCTGTCAGTGTATGATATTTGAACACAAACCCACAAACATGATGACTTCTGACTTTATGTGAATCACAAGAGATGCAGCCGCAACTGTGGAGCTGAGATTTCTCAAGAATGAAAACATATTTATAGGAAACGGCCTTGCCTGGCGGTCATACAGTTCACTCATCAGGGGAATTACATGGAAGGAGTCTTTCTCCTGTTATGCAAGAGGATGAATGCCAATATGACTAGTTTTCAACTGTTCTGCCTCAGCAAATATTTAAAGGCAAAATCATCTGTAAAGGTCAATAGGGAAACCACAAATCTAAATGTTTTCACCACTTCTTAATAAAAGCCTCAAGTTTAGGAAGCTTTATTTGACAGTTTTAGTTTCATACACTCTGCTCGCTCGTTCTGTTACACATTTGGAAGCTGATGCGAACATTTGGTCATAGTACATTGTGTAGTTACAATGTTGTTGGAGGAACTGTAGAACTAAGCGCTTGGGTAAACATTTTCAATCATCCAATTTAGATTTGCATCAGCTGAACTCTATCTTATTTAAATGAACGTGTTGTTACCTCTGCATGGAAATCAGTTGTTTATTTAAGCAAAGTTGTTTCTACGCAAACGAAAGATGGTCAGGCAATGTGTATGTTGATGAGACATTTACATATATTAGTCCCTTCACAACCCCTTATCTTATGATTTCCTCGTTGTTCCACTTAATTAAAAGCCTTTAGAAAAGCTCAATCATCAATGTAACACCCTTGAAAATATGGGAAAAAAATAATTATCATACAGATCACAATTTACTTTTGTTTAATGTCAGTGATGTGACATTTTTGATATTTCAATATTACAATC